AAATGAATAACCTAACAATATCTTGATAGACCAATCCAAGGTCCCTGAAGAATAATAATCCAGAATGTGTCACATACAAAGCATTTGTTATTGTGTAACAGGCATATACCCGAAGAGATCTAGGAGAAGACAAAAACCAATWACTGTATGATATCATGATGTAGGCAGAAGTTTAATGGAAAATAATGTGCTCATATGACTTACCTGGCCAATACTTTAAAGAAAGCTATAAAGTAATATTTCTGTTGTACACTTTTCAGACATTTAGAAACAGATAAACTGTTAACTGTGTCTCTGGAAAAAGTATAACATCTTCGAGTTCTTTTGTAGGAATAGTACTTTCAACCGCATGAAACATAAAAAAAATTGAGATCTCATCATAAGCCTTGAAACTGCTGCTTTAGAACAAAAGGCATGAATACTTGATCTTTAATCATACCTTCAAGTCCTTTTCCCATGCAGACACAGTGCAACAAGAAAGTCCACTGTTATGATATACCTTGAAAGAAGAATGATTCTGAACCCTTCATATTTTTTCTGCTTTATGAAATTAGTTTTGCCAAACTCACTAGAGGACAAAAAGAAAAAAAATTAACTTCCAGGGAATGCTATCCCTTATTGAGCGGAGAAGGAAATGTTTCTTAAGTACAGAGTTTTATCTAGAAGCAACAGAATAGAATAATGAATGGTGAAAGTATGCATTAAATTCCACATTACTGCTAAACAAATTTCAGTTATAGGCAGATGATGAACTGAACCTACAGGTCAACCACAGTGATTCTTTGTTGATTCCTTAGTGTCAAATTTATGTTTTACCTATTGGATTAACATTTTGTCAATTAAGTATCAGTATTCTACTGTAACTACTTTACTTGAGTGCATAATGAAATTATCTAATCTCTTTAATCTCTGCTTTTCAGTTATTTTATGTAACAGTCAACAACTAGCAAAACCACAGTAATTTATACATCCTAAAGCTGCCTTTCTCAGTTCTGACATCAGTGTTTGATAACTAAGTTTTTTTTATACCCTTAGACAATAATTTTTCCCCAGTAGGTATGACTCAGTATCTTGGTCCCTGTGTTTCTTCCCCTCTATTCTGTCACAGATGATTAATGTCCTTCACATTTTCTTTCTCAAGTATTTTTCCCCTTTCTCTCTCCCTTTGCCATTATATTTAATCTTCTGATACCCACTTCGATGTTTTCTTCCCACATTTTGCTGTTAACTCCCATCCCCTTAAAAAAGACTGGCAGTCTTGTAACCAGCCAAGAAAGGTTCCTATGCTGTTGTCCAAAACTCAGTGTCTTGAGTACAGAAGCAAACTTAGTAAATTTAAACACACAGGGAGGGTCCTTCTCTGCTTTCCTATCCTTGCTGTGCTGTTCTGTCAGTTTTCTGTCATCTTCATCAACTATATCAATATCATTAATCTATCAATATCAGAACAAGCTTTTTTCCCATAAATGTGGGGAAAATACATGTCTCTTGGTAGGATTTCCATCCTGCTTATCAGCATCTTTTCTGTCTCTATTTTTAGGCATCTATTTTAGTCTTAAAGTTTTGAAACCACTCCACATGTTTTCAACTTTTTCTATTTTGTTGCATCTCTACCAGACCTTGTCTGTGGTGGCTACTAAGAATCTGAACATTGTATTTAAGAATTCCCATGAATGGTGCAATTACATGAATGTCACACCATTAGTTCCAGTTGCATAAAGGGTTAGCTAGTAAAAATAAGATTGTCACTTCAGTATAGAGTCACCATTTTCTGATCATTAAAATAGCTCCTGAAAAATCAGTTTTAAAAATCCTACCAGTATCTTCCTATTTTTCCCTAGAAAGTACTGGGACTATCCAAAGACATGGTTAAGCATTCTATAACATTCTATTTATTGTGTAAATTATTTGTAAAAGAATTTAAATGCTCTTGCAGTTCAAGCAACATATTTGAGTAAATTTACAGGCTTCAGTAAATCCAGTTAAACACTTCTGTAAAACAGATGATGATTTTTATCAGATCTGAGGGAGAGATGAACTGATTTGCAGTATCTGGCAAAGTCACAGGAGATGTTATTTTTCTGATTCAAAAGGATCTGGTTTAGCACAGCTAGTCTAGACATGGGCTGCAGATGCGTAAGCAAAGAGAAGATCTAAGAACAACACACTTAAAGGTGACAGCATTTGATCTAAAGTGCCACAGGAGAGTATTAATAGAACAAAAATCTGTCTTAAGCACTTTCAAGTTTCTTGGGCCTATCCACACTCCCCTCAAGAACTTAGAGAAGACCAGTCATAATCCAGGAGTTCCAACAAGCGTTGTCTATTCAGATCAAGTAAAACTTCAGAAATGACAGCCAGCACTTCACACAAACAACATTCTGGGGCCTTCTGAGTCTTAAAAAAAAAAAGCTGCTACTGGATTGAGACATAATAATTCTGCCAAAGCTATTGATAATTTTGAAAATAAATTTTCTTCCAGCTGATCGAGACCTGGTGTTTTGGAAAAAGAGATGTGTGGACATATTGTCTTTCTAAGACCAAATCTTAATCTGACCAAATATGTTTATCCAGTAATTTATTAGTTTTTTCCCTCTAAATGCATTTGCTTTTCTCTAGGTGTCCCCACAGTTCTTGATTCATTTCACATGATATAGATGTCAATTCTTTTATCTCTTGCAAACGCCAGAATCCAAGGTCTCTGTCCTTACAAACCAATCAGTAAGGAGTTATCTTTTTTTAATGATCAGATCAACCACATCAGTCAGACACCTAAAGTTAAGATGGTGTCCACTGACTACAAGACCAGCAGGGATTTTGGCTAATTGCATTGTGATCCTTTGTGTCCATCTCCATCCCAATGTTGAAAGTACCTTTTCCCCAAGAATTAATTTATCAAGCGACTCTAAATTATGAACACTGCATTTTTTGCATTGGTAATCATGACCCTTTGAAAAAACACAAAGGTTATTTATATCATTATTATAATAAATAATCTCAGTTCGGAAGCTACTTAATGGACTATAATRAGAAGATGATTCATAGAACAGCTGTAACAGTGCCAGAAAGACATAGAGCACCTTCTGATAATAACTTAGCCTACACTTTCGTTCTTCACATATCAGACATGTGGATATGTGAATTTTTGCCAAGAATTTTCCCTCTATTTGCATACAAAATATGGACATGTCAGAACAAAACAAGTATTTTTTTCAGCAAACCAGAGGAGGTTGAAGTCATGCCTATTGTACCACTGTRGACTCAGCATTAATGACAATGTTTCATCTCACTTTCTGCCAGTTTATTTTATGAAAAAAAAATCCCAGGCATACTTTAAGATTATTTTGACCTGAAGTTGTCCTTAAAACTTAGTTCGTGATTTTTTTTATCCAGGCATTTCTTGCACTCTTTAAAGCATCACTTCTAGATGAGTGTCTGAATTGGTTGCTTCTGGCGTGACTGACTGCTGCTTTGTAAGTGTGAGGAGTATTGTGATGTCACTTTTTGTGTTGTGTGTTGTGTGTTGTGTGCCACCTGCCCATCTTCGTTGCAGTCAATGATACTTAAATATATTCCAGATATCAGATCATACATTTTGTTCCATTACATACTGTGTTATGGCTGAGTGTACTGAACATGCACCGAGGATGTAAGATACCAAACACCTCCCTGTCCYCATGGGAGTCAGAAGTTTTGCTGTGGGTGTCATGGGTGTGGAACAACACACATCCTCACACACAACTCTCCATTTGCATTTCTCAACGCCAACCTCTTGCTTACAATAGCATTTGCTATTTTGCTGACTCTGGTTGGTGTGCTCTTGGAACTCAGGAAGTGGCAGGGAAATCATCACCAAGTCATGGMGTTAAAGGTCTAACACCTACAAGCAGCACTGTTCGTTTTAGCACTGTCACCAAAAATGTTGTCCATTCAGAGAAAGTACTTTGCTTTTTAGAATTGATGGTAATGAAGAAAGAGTCTTGGGATGGCATATGATAACCCAGTAATAAGTACAAGCTAAATGGCCAACTGATGTCACTTCAAATGTTTTTACTCTGAATTTTGGCAAGCATTTATCTTGACCAATCTAATAATCCTGAAATACATATCTTGTTTTACTTCTTGAGATGCCTGAATGTTGTTTGGACAGATTTTTGTTGTAGTTTGTTGTTTTGGTTTTGTTATTTTCCTGCTTTCATGGGAGTTCTCTCTCTCTTGACACCATCTGGTATKTGTGACAGTTTTGCCCTTACTGGAAGTTTTCTGTGTTGGGCTGGTTGTAGCAGCTCAACAGCTCTGTTATTTTGCGCAAGGATACTGAAGGGAGAAAGTGGGAATGAAAGATGCATGAAAGCAASTAACTGTGAAATCCACAGTTCCCAGTGCCTTTTAGAGTCTGTGCTGTTATGGAGATATGTATTCTAATATTTCTAACTGGATTTTTATGTTACTTTGTTATGATTTTTAACAGTGAAAAAGTTCCGCTTCTCCTGTACTGACAAAAGTGTCCTACATTTATGCATTGYAGTAGTTAATGCAGTCCAGCAGATATTCAAATTGCAAATTCTATTGTTCAGTTGTGCTGGTTTTTTTCTGTACAGGTGTGCACTYTCCTTCAGGATGGACATATTGTTAATTTTGGGAGAGTACATTCAACRTGCCTCTTTGTAGGCATAATATGAGAAATTCAAGCAGTACCAAAGAACAACTGCATTTTCCTCTTATATAATTAGAAATGTCTGGGATGGCTAGCTTCTCAGTCTGGGCACCAGGAAATGCAGTATGGCCCTTGTCTCACTGAATACTGAGTTTGCATGAGAAATTCTGGTAAGATATTGTCTTACCCCACAAGATTCGTAGGACGTGCTACAGATTCTTAGGAATCACTAATGCTTGCAAGGTTCTAGCAAACTGGAAACCCCTTTTAGATAATAGTGGCAGTGATTGCTTTCCATTACTCTAATTTGCACTTTGTAATCAGTTGCATTCGTTTTTAACAGCCTCCTCTGTCCAGTTCAACTCAGTGGAAAACCTGACACATTTTCTTCAATTCCATGAGATAGTAATGGTACATAAAGAGGAGTTTCTAYCCTGCTCTGCAATGGAAAAGCACTGGAGTTTCTACAAAGCGTGCAAAGATTTTGGGTTCTAAAGACTTCTTGAGTGCTAGTATTTTTTTCTTCACCATCACTTAAAAGTAAATATTTGAGCTTTTGGAACTAAGTTCTTTGTTACTGTCATTTTGATAAATCATTTGTCCAGCACTTGGAATGATGGAAAGATTGTTTGGGTAAGTGAATAGGGAAGTACTTAGTAGCAGGTAAGGATAACTGCCAATATTTAATTTTGTGCTGCAACATTAAGAAATGGGGAAGTATATAGGACTTATACACTAGTGCTCATTGTGAATTACATACCAGGTTGATAACTTGGTATGGAATTTTAAGTTTTAATTTAAGGTTAAAGTGTCTGCCCGTGCTTGATGGGGCACTAGAGAACCAGACAGGCATCAACACTGATAGTCACTTCTTACATCTAAACCTGGAACTGCTCTGGCTGAGCATGTGCTATCAGAAATGGCAGCATGTGTTTTTGTAATAACATAAACTGTTACATTAGGTGACAAATCTAGATGGACAGTCTTGAAAAACATCAACAGCTTTGCTTTATGTGGCATGTATATATATAAACATTTGAGAAGTGGGGCAGGTGCTTGGAGAGGTTGAAAGAGATATCTTAGCTATTGGAAGTGCTTAGGAAATTTCCATTCATGTTCCAGCCAAATCTTTCTGATGGCCAGAAAATGTGCTGGCATTTGACAGGAAATGCTGTTAGCCTGTTTGTGGAACATGATTTTTTTCCAGGTAACAACAGTTCATCCCAATCTCTGGAAGATTTCTATTTGTTTTAATTTTACAATGTTTGAATGTGCTTTAGCAGCATATTTGTAACACATTTGACTGTTATGAGAATTATCTGCTTTCTAGTGGCATTCTTGCTCTTTCGTTCTTTGGACTGTAAGAGATGGAATAATAGTACCTGCTACTCCTAACTTGAGTGAATAGGATGGGAAGTATCTCCTGTTGATACATAACACCAGCAAGCTATTTGGAGTGTGAAGAGCTCTTCTGCAAAGATTTGATTAATGTCTTAAACAGAAGTTGGTTTAGGGAAGTGAGAGTAGTGTGATATGCAGAGAGCTAGTACTGTGCCCTAGGATACATGAGCAATCACAGCGTGATGGGCTGTAAGAATAAAGAAATGCAAATGGCCTGGAAGTCAAAAAAGGTAAAATCTGCTGAATGACATGTATTTTGTAAACTTAGTTTCACACAAAAAGAAAACTGAGTGGTCTCACAACTGCAGCAGCAAAACAAACCTGAAGGCATATTACTTCAAAGGAAGTGCTCATTCAAAATACTGCACTTTCACTGAAAATAAAACATATTTGACTGTTGAAATGACCTCTGAATTACATGTTTGTTTGRCATTTTTTCTTTGATGCAAGATGTCTAATAAAATTAATGTACAAAACTTGGGAGAATTTGACAGTAATATTTTGGTCCCCTATATTAATGTGATTACATGACTAAGGCAATCTTAAGATACAGTGACAGAAAATTGAATTGCTTCAAGCTGAGCAAAGAGGTAAAAATGCAAAGTGCTACATGAAAACCAYGGTCTCTTACAGATGCTGTATGTAAATGTAATCTACCAGTAGGCTTTTTWAATTTTAATATTGTATATAAGCATCCTGAGAAAGGCATTAGCTTGACAACATATGGTTTAATATGACTAACAAATGTAGGATTCTGCTCCCCAAATCTTAAAACACTGAATATTCTCTAACCTCTCTGCTGGAATCCTTGGATCTTAATGTAAAGATCCATTAAGAGATAGAAAACTTACCCGATCACGTTTTCTTGGTTTAAATTAATACTTTTTAAGTGTACTTTTGCATAAAAATATAAGTGGTCGTCACTGGTCAAAGAGAGGCAGCTGTTAGTGATGCCGACTGCAGCAGAGTAAAAAAGCTTCTGCTCACAAGTGGCAGTTCATCCTCTCAGCCCCTCCCGCTGCTTTCATGATTCAGTTCTTTTATTTAGTTAAATTCCACTCCTAGGCAGTGAGTTAGCACTTACTTTGTGTGGTGCAGGCTAAAGTAAAAAAGGATATAAAATGCAACTAGTAAGACAAAACCCCTGGCATTCTGACTATTCTTAATAGTCGCATGGGGAAAAAAGTAGAAAAAGATGATGCAGTGAACAAAAGCCATGAATTTAGATTCATATTTCCACAGAATTAGTTATTTGTTGCTGAGATGGAATTTAAAAAAAACCAAATCAGTGGGGAGATTAATACTAGTAAGGAAGAGTGAAAGACTCAAAAGAAAGAGMAAGGAAGAAGATAAGCAGCTGGGAGGAATACATTTTAAACCCAGCAAGGACCACTGTGACCTCCTGAGTAAGACAGGTCAAAGGTAATGAAGCTCTGTAAGCAAGGGAAACACATGGAAACGAGAAAAGAGGTAAAGACATAGGTGCAGGGAGAGCTAAAGTCTTTCTAAGCCAGAGRTTCAACACCAAACATTGCACCCTTTTGCCAGGCAAAGTAGAACAGGTCAGGGAAGAGAATAGTTATGAAAGCCAGCTTGGGACAGGTAGTTAGAGTACTCTAAGGCACAAATACTCCTTGGGTTTTCAATGGTGAAAATGCAGGTAAGCAGAGGGCGAGGGATGAATAATGTTGCCATAGGAGTTCAGGTAAATTCTTAAAGCAGCTGCAGGTGGTGAGTGTTTTGTCATATGACACAATGATTTTTTTTTCTGGTCTTCAAACCTTAATACTAAACTGGAGGAAAATAACACTGCTTAAATCAAGAGAATGAGCAATCACCTGCATGAGACTTGTGCCCTTTCTGTGATCACCGGTAGCTGGTTAACTAGTTGGGTAGGAAATTATGCAGCTGATCTAAGATTTGAACTGCTAAGTTACCGGCCATGTCAAGGAAAGCATGGCACAGGAAGGGAATAAAGCATTTCTAAGGAATGGGACTTTGGAAAAGGATTTTAAGAACTTTTATGTGATTTTTTGGTATCTCTATGTTTTTCTAGATTGCRGATGTGGGTTTTTTTGTTGGTTAGAGTGTTTGTTTGTTGTTACTAAGGTTTTGGCCTTGTCTGTGGCAGAAGGTTTTACTACTTACACTAACACTGCTATAGCAGAATAAGCCACAGGTGAGTTTTCCCACATGAGTGTTCTTTTGATTTCACTTACACATTTCTGTGGTAAGAGCTGAAATACCCAGTTACATATAACTTGGTCACAGTGGCTTATGCAATTACCAGCCTTAAGCCGAGCTGTCACAGCGGTGCCCAGCTGCATGGTCAGTGCTGCAGCAGCAGACAGATGCTCTCTGGTGTGGTGGCGTCTTCCACATTTCCCACCGAGCCGATGCACCACGGCCCGAGGCTCTCAGCAAGCAGAGCCAACAGCTCAGCCTGACCTTAAAACACCGGCCTTTGACTGGAAGTCGTTGGGGAGCTGCAGTATTCCASTCCAGCGGCAGGTTATTTCACCGCTAAATAAAAAATCTCAGTGCTAAATAAAAGCTAATAAAAAATAATAATAAAACCTCAACCAACCAACCTGCTAAAAAGCCAGGCTGCAACTTCTTAGTTCAGAATTGCCGCCCTCGTGCCCACCCGCCCCGGGACCACTGCAGCCTATCTTCTTCATGGCTGTGTGCTCCAGGGGCAGCCGAGTAGAGAACGAGGAACTCGGGCCAGGGGCTTGTCCTCAGCCCAGCCCAGTCCCAGCCCTGTCCTGCCGCCCGGCTAAGCCGGCCGTAGTGTTTGCGAAGATCGCCGGCCGCTCCGCCTCCGCGGGGCAGCCGTGGGGGGGGTCGGCGCCGCCTTTGCCGTAGGGGCGGTATGGAGGAGCCAGGTTCCTCCCGCTTCCAGGTGCTGGCGGGGACCGCTGCCACCTCCCACTATTCCTCCTCCTCCTGCCCGCCAGGTTTCGGGGCGGGYGGCGGCCCTTCTATTTTCCTCCACGTCATGGAAGAAAATGCCGTGCCGCACACACAACACATACCCCGTACCCCGCCGAGCCGAGCAGCGCGCCCGGCCCGGGACGGCCGCGATTCACCCGAGTGCGTGCGCGGCCGCCGGCGACGTCCCGGGACAGATGCAATGAAGGTTCCCGGCCCGGCCCGCGGAGCTGAGCCCTAACTTCGCGGAGCGGCGCGCTGGGATCGCAGCAGCTCCCGTCCTCCTCCTGGAGGCTCTGCGGTACGCGCAAACTTGGATGCTCGGGCGCGGCGGCGGAGTTTGGGAGGAGGAGGAGGAGGAAAGGGCGGCACTGTATGACTCCGCGGGAGCGCAGTGGGGCGGCGCTGCGCGGGGGCGAGAGGGCCGGGCCGGGCGCGGCGCTGGAGGCGGCCGGAGCAGGAGGAGGAGGGTCGCTGCCGGTGCTGCGGGAGAGCTCCGGTAAGAAGGCGCCGTTTGTCTTAAAAGTTAGTTACGGGGGGRTTTTGCGTCTCGGTAACAGGGTGCGGCGGCACACACCTGCCGGCACGGCTGGCAGGCTGCGTGCCCAGATGTTACAGCCGCATAAGCCTCTCTTCAGAAGCAACAGTTACAGCAACTTAGGGTGCGGTTTGGTAGAGTGACAGGAATCGGGGTTTTGCCCTGATGTTGGCATTTTTTCGTTTCTCACTAAATTGCTCAAAACATTCGTGTTAGTCTGTAGCTGTGCTCAGATTTGCCAAGTGCACTTAGTCATTTCTTTAGTATGGAAAGAGGTTCTTTTTCCTTGTGAGGAAACAGAAAGTAACAATAGCAAGAATCTGTCAGACCTTTTTTTTCACTCGAAGAGAGACGGTAGCAGCTTGTTTGTCATGGGGACAACAGATTTTCTAATACTAGAGTAAGAAGAAGACTTCAGAGAAAGAAGACTTTACGGGGAACTTCCACTGTGTCCCACCTGAAGATCAGCTCCACTGAATATTCTGTGACTCATTCCAAACATCTAATCCATAAACCAGCCTTTTTCATTCTGAGATAGGCACATTTCCTTCATGCCTTTTTGCATAAATTAATTTCCTTATTAATAATCCTTTTGCATTTGTCTGTTTGCGAGAGAAACAGCTGAGGGGTAGAGATGGTGGATAAACTTGCACTTCAACTGAAGTTGAAGCAATTAATAGGAAAGAGCTGCTTGCTTCTTTCAGAAGGGAAAATGCAACAGTCAAGTGACTGGAATGGGCTGCCCACGGAGGTGGTGGAGTCAGTGTCCCTAAGGTGTTTAGAAAAAGACTTGATGAGGCACCCAGTACCGTGGTTTAACTGATATGGTGAGTTAAAATCGCAGGTTGGACTCAGATGATCTCAAAAGTCTTTTCCAACCAAGTCTGTTTTGTGTGATTCTGTGTGACACTGGAAGGCAAAAGATTGGAAGCAAGTACAAGACTTGGGTGGGTTTTTGCACCATGCTCAAGTAATTGGTAGCATGTTTCCCCYAGCCCCCACTCCCTAGTCTCTATCAGAAAGCTTATGAAAGTTCGAAAATGCCTGGATGAAAGAACCCAAACTTTCATAAGAAACAGACATTTTTAACCCATCTTTGAAAACTTCCAAGCTGTAAGGAAATGGAAATGGAAAGGACATGTGGAGAAGGTGTTCCAGAGTACTTTTCTTTCACCTGTTTCCTTGTTTCCAAGCATCAGCTTTCAACTACTGTGAGACAGCATCCTAGGCTGGGTGGGCTCAATGGATATGATGTGATTGTTCTTTCATGCAAGTGGCTTTTCTGAGATGGTCATAGAAAGGGAAGTGAAATGCTACTGCATCTGAGCAGCTGTGGCTTCTGGTTTTATACATCTGATACTGATGGGTTTTGGCCCAGTACTTGTATATTTCTTTTGGATGCTGCCCAGCTGCAAAGGCATTTAAAGATTACCAACAAACCTGGCTAATGCTTTTTGACACATGCATCATATAAATTAGCAATTCGCAAGGATTATAACTTTTTGAAAATCAGTAATTGTGATAAAGAATACATCTAGGTTCCAGTTGCTTGTGTTTGCACCACCTTTGTGTGATATTACATTGGAGAAGTAGACTCCCAAGAAAGGCGTCCACACACTGAAAACTGCTTGTGTAACAGGTTTTGTAGGTTTTGTGGATCATAGCCTATACTCTACATGCTATTTTATGACCTAATATGTGCAAATGATTCTAGTCAGTCAAACAGGCTGGCTGTGATMATCCTGCACAGGTCATGGTGAGAGGCAGGAGACTGTATCTGAAATACGTAGTACAGGTAAATTCAGAGGAATTAAAGCTTAAAGCATTTATGTAGCAATTATAGCTACAGAAAGAGTCATCAGGAGTCATATGGTGACTCTAGCTTTTGAGGTCTTCCAAGAAATATTGATAAAGGAACTAAAAAATGCACCAGATGAGTCATAAAAAGCTCATTTCTGCACCATAAACAGCAGGGTGCCAAGTCTAGCAAGCGAGTACATTTTGCGTAATTGTCAACAAGTCAAGCCTCATCAGTCCTCTCACTGAAACACTCAAAAATGAAGAAGGCTTCACCAGGATTTGCAATGTGACCAGGGCAAGGCAGAGGTCCCTCTGCTTTGAGTACGAGAGAGACAGCTGTGAAGAAAGAGGCGTTCTATAATGGCACCACACCAGAGGGAGGCATCGCTAAGCAGGTGACAGGGTATAAACCAGCCTGTCAGAGACCCGCCCATCCTCCTGCACCATGCTCTGTTGTATTACTTTACTGCTGTGTGCCTTGTCTCGTGGGTCAAGAAGCTGGGCCTTGCCCTGTCCAGGACTCCCTGGTGCCAATCAAAGACCTTTTCCCTTTGAACTGACTGTGGAGTTTTTGTGGTGCATTGTTGTTTGGTGGGGGAGGTCTTTCTTCGTGCTTGATTTCTAGGGACAAGTAAGCACCCTGAGTCTCACTCAAAACATGCATAGCTGTCTGCAGACCTTTTCTAGTTTTGCATATGCTGGGAGCTATTGTCTGACAGATGATGTCCCATATTGTTAATTTTTTTAATCAATTGGTAATATATTATACAATTGGGCACTGTACCATCCCATCACCCTGAAAAGAGGTAAAGTTATTCTAGCTACTGTCTTACCATATTGCATTTTATGCATACAGAGAGTGCCAATATTAAGCATTAATATTCCATATTAGCATTCTGGATACTGTTCTGTATAATTTTGCAGTGCTGGAGACATTGAGCTAAGGCAGGACTGCAGGATACCTTGCATCTGTGACACCCAGAGCCCTCTTTGGAGGTTACAAGACTCAGCCTACTTCAATCACAAAAGTGCAGTTTATAAATCTGTATAGCTGGAAGAGTGGTAATGAAGAGGAGGCTGGTGTGCACAGTATTTTGGTCAAAATGTGGATGGAGAGGAGGAGAATGCTCCATATGCCTTAGGAGTCCTGCTGCAGTGCTTTCCTCGAGAGAAAATACCTTGATAGTTGTTTGTGGTATACACAAATAGTACAGTGTTTAGTTCCTCACATTTCTTTGTAAGCATTGCACACAGAAAAGTCAGGTGTAATAACCCAGAAACGTATTTCTTGCCATGTAGGAGACATTGCATACCACACGAAGTACTTATGTACAGGTGAATTTGCAATGCAGGTTGTTGTATCTAAAGAGAATTTCAGTCTTATAGCAGCAGTCCAAAATTCTGGCCTTGGCTTAGTGTCAGAGCTACTTTATTTGTGGAGAGAGCAAGACCYTGGCACACTGAGTCTCGGTACCTGAAGTGTGCATCTTGAACTTGGAGAGGCTTTTGACAGAGACTTCTCATGTCCCAGTGCTTTCCTGCCTCTCCACAAGTCCTCTTTACTCTGCTGGAGAAGGAAATTAGGTTGCTTTGATGTCATCTCTTCTTTTTATGGTGTTTCTTTCTCCCTACCCTCTTGGTGCTTAGAAATGATATGTGAATAAACAAAAATATGTGCTTCTTATATGGATAATGCCTTCCACAGCTTATTGTTCAAAGCCTCCATGTTCACTATTYTTCAGCTAACGTTTTACAATTTTTTCTGTAATTTTTGCAAGACATAATGTCATCCCTACTACTTCTGCACACTTGAAGCACTGATAATGGTGGAGCTGTGGGCAGCGGCAGGATGGAGCAGACACCAGGACTTTGTTCACCCACCRAGCTGGCTGTGCCCATATTGATGTCCAGGGAGAGTGCATCATAAAGAGGAGAAGAGATCACAGTGAAGTCCATCAGGTAGGCCTGCAGCTCTCTTTGATGTAATTTTGCTGATGTGACAAGCTGTGACTTTTGGTGGAAGGGAAGTAACTTAAAGAGGGTGATTTACAGTGGGGGATTGCAGACAAGAGTCTGCAGGCAGCTTGGTGAGGAGGTGAAGGAAATGGAGAAATATTTTGASCTGTTAATGGGAGCTTTTCTGCGGTGTGATGCAGTTTCTCCTGCTTCCCTGTTTAACAGGAAACTTCCACCCTCTTTTATGTGCTTCACCTTGCCAATGAACACAAACTCTGTCCCTTTGGGTCTATTTTTTATGCTATACTATAGTTTAGAGTAAAGATTAACCCTCTCTCCACTGTAGCAGTATTGCTTTAAACTCCCATATGAGGTGAAACAAACCTGTTAAACTTTATTTTGCCACACATTAGAAGGGAGTAAACTCTATTTGTTGGAGTGTGTCTTTGTTAGTGGGCATTTGTTTGTTTGTTTTTCTTGACTTCTGCCTTTATAGTTCACTAGGTCCTTGGCAAACATGGATGCTCCCATCTCACAAAATCAGAGAATTTATATTCTCAATGTATAAGCACCAGGGCTGGGAATTTTGATGGCTGACAATCTCTGGGCCTTCTTATCACTTTCTTGCATTAAGAGGGCTGCAAACCCTGTGACTAGCATGACRCACTAGTATGAGATGTACCAAGGGATGTGCAGAAAGACTTTCAGGCCTCCACCAAAAGAGCTTTCATGAAAAGTTACTGTAAAACAATTCAGATTAGTTGGGGTTGCAGAGGAACCAGGTTCTCTCTTGTGCTGCTTGTATGACCCTGCAGAAATTACTTGCCTCTTTTCCTGGCCAAAAAGCAGAGACACAGACTTTCTCTACCTTTCAATTTCTCTGGGACATGAGCATGCTGAAGTTAATGGAAGATATTCTACTAAAATTATGGGGATYGCCAGTGGAGGCAAGCGGAAAGGAGAATCCAACCTTTTCTAAAGAGCATGGAGTTGGGCCTGAGTGACAAACAGGCAAGCAAAGCAGCTTACAGTCTGTGCAGCAGCTTCTGCTGTCTGAATATATACAGATCCTGTGCAGGAAAGGGTTCTCATGTTTAGCACTGGGACAAAGTTTCGTGCAATATCTGTAATCGCCATATCTTTGCTTAACCTGTGTYTCACGTGTATGTGGCAATAACCTGTCTTTTCTCTTACAGAAACACAAACCATGCTGTGCTAAACTGTAGTCTTTTCTTATTGTTTTTCATTGGGACACTGTGTTGTTTTAAGTCTTCAGGGTCTTAAGATTGGCAGGTGTATCTTTTAAYTAGCTCTTAAAGTAATGACATATTTTTCCACATCTTCCAGTGAAGTATGTAAGTGATTGTAGTTTCTTAGCTCTTTAGTTGTCTATCATTCAGAGAAAATCTAAATATTTCATCAGATAGACAAGCCCAAACMGTGGAGTGAGTTGTGAAGAACATGGCTGGTAGTGTGACTGTGTTAGAGAGGGGTACAGGCTGAGGCTCCAGTGCAGGGCAAGTGGGTGGAAAATCTGACAAACTTGATAGAATTTACTGATCAGATTTAATGCCAACGAAAACTACTCCTACAGAAATCCCATGATCGCTATCAATAGATAATTTTGTGATGGAAATAAGCAGCWAGCAGCAGTAAAAAGTAGCACATTAATAAATTAACTTTTCCAATTAGCAGCATTGAATAGTCAAGTAGTGTTTAAAGTTTAACTCAGGCAGCCAGTTTACTAAAAAAAAACCCAACTAAATAACTTAAGAAAGTACAGGATTACTTCTCCCCTTCCCCAGTTTCTCAGGGACATCATCYCCTCTGTCTTTCCTGTAGATCCAGACTTAGCTTGTGTAGATCAGAGGGAAAACCAGGAGGAGCTAACTAAATTTTTCCACAGAGCAGGTCATGCAAACAACCAAGTTTGCATTGCTGTGTAAACAGGTGTGTATTAAGCAAACAGAGATAATTTATCAGGGAGACCTTTCCTGAAGTGTTTCTGCCTGGAAGAGAGGGAATTGTTCCTATAGTTCCTGATTTATATAGTAATGATGTTGGTTGCTGAAATACACTGTGACTTGGTTTCCAAGGAAAAGTGTAGACAGTGCCTCAGATGCCTTTGAGTGATGGTGGAGTAACTGATGGGAGAAAGCACTTGTTCTTTTGCTTTGATTTTTATTGTTGTTAATGCTACATGAGAGCACTAACCCTTATTGATTCCTCTCTCCATTCTCCTCTTTCATAATTTCCCGACCTCTGTTCTGCTGCTTCTGCTCTTCCCAGCGACCATTCCCTTTTTATTTTTTTAACCTAGCAAGAGCTTGGTTTGTGCTGTACCTCRGCAGAAGGGTTTCTTCATGCAAGAATGAATCACATGGTAGGGTAAAAGCACTCCTGTTTGCCTGTGTCTGCTCTCCCTCTTTCCTTCCACAGTCTTGCACTCAGACTTTTAACTCTTGCTCTGGCAAGCGCAGAAGCAGATCGACTCACAATGGCTTTCATAGGGAGCACGATTTCAGATCCATYGAGGAGAGAGCACTGCCTGCTCACAGCCTGAACTTTCCTAGAATCCCTGTTCTAGTAACAATCAAAGTGTCTTGTCATGATGTCTGCACGGGTAAACCAGTCCCAAGCTGATGTGACAACAGACAAGAGGTGGTTCCCACCTGCTGGCCATCTGGCATGACACCAAAGTAATTTGTGGCATCTCCAGAAAGTCACAGATTTCTTTGTTTGGTATTGCAAAAGTAGAAAAGAAGTATTCTAAATTTGCTAGGACTATGCATTGGGAGAGCCCTTGACTTTTGTTTTGTGTAGCTCAGTGTAGCCGCTGGTTGAGATTGGACTTTTGCTCACCTACTGAGCAAAAGCTTCCTTTGGGAAGGACTGGCAGAGGGCAGAGGAGGGGGGCCAGTGGATATTGATATATACCTTGTGTTCCTCTGGAAAGTTGTGATGCATTGGTTATTGCAGGCTTAGTTTACAGGCTTCTTCAGATAGCCCTGCCTGCATGCCTGCTGCTGAGCCTGTTGCTTCCAACATCAAAGGAGTACCTTTCCCTTTCCATGGTGTCAGCCCTCTTGGAGCAGAAATCCTTTTATTCTTCCTGAACAAAACCCAAGCTTCAAAGCATGAGTTTTATCCTTCTGCCTGGGGATATATCTCAGCTCCATCAAGCTCTGAGTTTCCTGTCATGGACCTGGRTGGTTCATAATGGCTCCACACTGTGGGCAACATCCAGAGAGCTTGTGGGCGTTGTAGATCCACCTGGAAGCTTCCACCTTTAATCACTGAAGGACTTGAGTTTAATGGAGCACAGGCTGTATCAGAACAGGCACAATGAGGAGGCAGAATTAAGTGCTGGGGAGCTGAAAAATTCTTTGTTTTCTCAAGTGAGGTAGTTCACAAGCTGCTAATAAATCAATGTGCTCCGAATACAGACAAAGTGGGAACACCTCTGAGCTGTGTAGATGGCAGGTGAGACTTGCCATGCAGAGTAAGATGAATGTGAGTGTTGGTAATTTGTTCCTGCTCAGGGTGAAGGGAGAGTAGATTCCGCCTGTGCAGGAATGACATTGGCATCACAAAGGTRCACAGACTGGGAGTCTGGATATGCTGAGTTTATGTAAAAAGCAAAAATAATAGTGGAGCTAGAGGAGCTACAGTAAAGCCYTGGTCTCCATATGTATCATATGAGAGTCTTACTAAAGTGGAAACACCTTCAGAGAGATGGTATTAGCCCAAAGCCTTCCAATTTCTTTGTGCTGATGAAGGGAACCTGTCCTTTCTTCTGAGCTGCTCAAATGCCTCCTTAAACCTCTATAGAGGGCTGGCCTATAAAGAGGGCTGAAGCTGCTGCAGCACTGGTGTATATGAGCCATTGGAGATCAGCCAGAGCAAGATCTTAGTTCTCCAAGCTGACTCAGACTTGTGCTAACCAGAGCAGCTTTCAGCCTAGCATTTTCTCCATTGCTTCTGAGTGCTCCTTGGGATGGAGGAGCTGCTGGGGTGTTCCTGGCAGAGGATTGGGGTTGGGTGCAATACTGCTACCCCCAGAATTCATCACATTGGAGCTGCAACAAGGCTGTGCCATTGCAAGCAAGAGCTGGGCTTTTTCCTGGCTCCTGTTTGTTGTGACCATGACTTTCCCAGTGAGACTTCATCCAGCCCATCTCATGTTCATGCTTTGGGACGAATTGGTGATCCTTTGTAGTTCCTTGTATCTTTCCACCAGCTGCAGAAGACTTCAGGTGCTTAGTTTGGGCAAGGTGTGTCTCACATGCATAGTAGACCAACCAGGATGCAGAACAGGTTCTCTGCTTGTTTTTTTTTCAAGGCCAAATCTAGAAGCAGTCTGGATAGTTTCACCACATTAAGTTCTGCTTCCTAACATAAAGTATGTCTAGATGTTGTGGGACACCCTCAAGCCGGTGGAAATGTCCCTGCCTGTGGTAGGGCATTGGACTAAATGATTTTTAAAGGTCCCCTTCCAACTCAAGTGCTTCCATGTTCCTGTAATTCTATGAAACAACATATGATGGCATACAGTTTCTCAGTAGAAGTGATACTTTAAACTTGATTTTACTCTGAAGGAATAGATGTACATTTTGTAAAAAATGTTATTGCAAATAAACTAATGTATGTGCTCATGGCAGTTCTTCAGAGCAACCTGGACCACCACATCTCAAAATGCACAGTTTCAGCTGACTTGTGTTCTTCCAATTAACAACAAYGGCAGTTCTTGTTTTTTCTTTCAAGGGCTGTCCGCTTGTAGGGAGATGGATAAACTTCTCTCCATTCCTCTTTGTGTATGTGTGGTCTGCTTCCCTCGACAGAAAAGATGCTGGACTGATATGATATCTGGTCCAGTGCTACCCAGATACACGATTCACCAGCTGGCCCGCAACAATTTCTTTTCAGAGCACTGAGAAGATGCAACTTTTCACTTACTTGGTAAATACAGTGAAAATTCCAGTGGGCACACTCRAAACCCATTT